CCGCGGCGCGGACCCGCGCATCGAGACCTTGGAGGCAACGATCTCCCAATTTGCCGCTCGATTTGTCACGTGCTGCTCCCGCGGGACGCGGCGATTTGACGCTGCGATCTCGACCTCCTCCTCCTCGCGCGTCATCACATTATCTCTGGCGTTAGGCAAGCCTCTCCACGCGCCGCTGCCAGTCTGTTTAGGTGGGCTGTTGCGCGGTGGCTCCTGTTTAGTTTCGGCTGTTCGCGCGCACGGCAAGGTAAGCTGCGAGGAGTTAACGTTGTTGTGATTCACTCATTGCGGCCGACCAAATGACAACCCATACGCTAATTCCTTTATTTAGTTTTATTTCTTTATACAAGGTGTTCAATCAATTTCAATATTTTTAATTAAACCATCTTTTCGAACGCCAAAATATCATCATACCATTTTCTTATGCTTGGCTTACGCATCTCACATACTACTTTACATAACATTTTGAAAACTATTTGTAAAATTTTTCAATTTATATTTCACATATTCTATACAATTATCACATATTTTCTGGACATAAATTAAGATTAGCTATATGATTATCGAACGTATCTTTAGAATAAAATATTGATACACGACAACACCTTTTCTCATATTATTAGAAGGTACCAACCTGACCTGAGATCATATAAATTCATTACTTTACTTTAATAGAATTATAACTAAATTTAGTGACATGAATCTCAAATGCCACAACAGTCTTTTACAGTGGACAATAAAGTAGTTCCGAAATTTCAAAATTCTAGACGATAATTTAGGCATGATTGTTTAAGTATTGTACATTATTGGCCAAGCCCTATATACGAATTGTAAAGATTCCAATCTTCTTCTAAATCTATACTTAGCTGCTATCTACTTGCGGTGAAGAGGGAGAGAGAATCCTTTCACATAACAGAACACACATAACAGAATGTTCGTATTATTTCGTAAAATGCTCTCTTGTTTCGAAGAGAGAAATTTAATGAATAAAATAACCAATAATTGTTTTTAACTACAATTAAATTTTACATATCTTTCGCTTCTGCTAATGATTTATTCATTATATCAAATGGTGACCTGTAACTTAAATAACAGAACCGGATTTGAACCAGACAAGTTTGCTTTCCCTTGCCCTCGAACCGGACAAGTTGCTTGCTTATCATTACAAATGTATTGATATTGAGAGTTTAACAATCATATACAAACATACAATTGTTTTGGTATTGTGGTACAGCAGAAAACTGATGATGAGGCTAAACCACCGAAAGCTGATATTGTAATAAACAATATTGTTAGTAATGACTCATATAATTATTTCATATAATTGTAGCAATCAAATCTGTACACTAAATTACACTCAGTGCGCAGAAAGACGACAGACCGTGAAATAGACTTGACCCACCTAATTCTATTATTACTTTCTCGTATACGTTCGTATCTATGGAGTAATATACGTAGTGTAAGATAAGTTATATAATGCTGCGCGAAAAAAACGGCGGAATTCTGTCAAAAGTTCCATTGCCGGGCCCTGATAACAAAAAAACGGAATAAAGCCAGTTGCTGAATTAAGAAAAATAACTTCTAAGAGGTAGTGCAGCCAGAATCCATGTTTTGTGGATTCGATACCGAAAAATCGATTGACGGCAAAATGTCCGTCTTCCTGCCCGTCTGTGAACACAATGTCCCTTAACAAGCTAGGTCGAGTCGACGCTTTGAGATCTTGAAAACATTCTATAAAATGTGGAAGTACATTAAGCCCCTGGGATATTTTAAAAATTTTCAGAAGATTGGCTCCATTTTTTTCTTTAATTCTTTTGTAATAATAGAGTAAAATACATTTACAACGGTTGAATAGGTACGATTTTCAAGGTTAACTTTGTATTTTCGAAAATTTCAAAAATTGAATGTTTTGGTGTCTTCCTTCTACAACAAAATATAAGATGACTTTTTTCTTCAATTAAACTTTATTTCCCTTAGTTTGTACTTTCATTGAATTTATGATAATTTTTTTCAAAATTTTAGTAGTTTCACTGCAATAGTGCGTGCAATATGTGCAATATTAAAAAAATTACGAAAAA